AGGTTCAGTCTAGTAGCTGACTGCCTTCTTACTTCTATCAAGGTTTACTAATATTATTTGAACTTTTCTATAGCATGGTTTACGCATTCATACAAATTGAGGTTTTTAATGTTAAAGTTCATGGTAATTATTGAGTCGAATACCTTCTTGTTGGATGCCTAGATTTTATTGAATGGCCCAAGCCCACCGCTAGTAGATATTGTCCTCTTTGGGCTTTCCTTTTCGGGCTTCCCCTCAAAGCTTTAAAAATGCGTCTGCTAGGGAAAGGTTTCCACACCCTTATAAAGGGTGTTTTGTTCTCCTCCCCAACCAATGTGGGATTCTCACAATCCACCCCCCTTCGGGGCCTAGCGTTCTTACTGGCACATCGCCTCGTGTCTACCGCCCTTCGGGGAACAGCCTCCTTGCTGGCACAACGCCCGGTGTCTGGCTTTGATACCGTTTGTAACGGCCCAAACCCACTGCTAGTATATATATTGTCCTCTTTGGGCTTTCCCTTTTGGGTTTCCCCTCAAGGCTTTAAAACACGTTTGCTATGGAAAGGTCTCTACACCCTTATAAAGGGTGTTTTGTTCTCCTCCCCAACCAATGCGGGATTCTCACAACTACTTCCTATGCCAATTGAAATTTACAATTCGTAGTGGCCATGATTTGTCCTTCCTGGAGTATGATCTGCCTCAGTTTTAAATTTATGAAAGATTTTCTACTCCCATGGATTTGGATAACATATAACTGGTTACTCTGTACACATTCTAACTATACTGTCCTCTCTTTTACAGGTTTTGATGAACTTGACCAATGATAATTATGTTGGCTGTCAACAAATTGCTTCCTGTGGAGGAATGGAAACTATGTGTTCACTGATTGCCAACCATTTTCCTTCGTTCTGTTCCACTTCATCCACCTTAAATGACTTAAAAATGCATACATCATATCTCAAATTTGAGCCTCCGAACGACAATCACCTAACCGATCAAGAGCTTGATTTTCTTGTTGCGATTTTGGGCCTGCTTGTGAACTTGGTGGAGAAGGATGGTCATAACAGGTCCGTTTTGCTTCAGTTTTTAATACATTCATCGTGCTTTCCATCGATTATCCTCTTCATCGATTCATGTGTTTTTCGAAGTTTATTGTACATTACTATTCAGTAGGACGATAACGGTTCCTCCCATCATAAGCACTTGTATTGCATTACTTGAATGCTCCTGAATTAAGCATCTGGAAAAGTGAAAAAAAAAAAAAATGATTGCTTGCTAATGCGTTTGGTTGTTTAACTTAACGTTCACATATCGTCTAATATAACTAATATAACCATCGCAGGTCACGGCTTGCTTCGGCTAGTGTTTTGATACCCAGCAGGCATGGACTAGAACAGGGTCATAGCAATGTTATTCCACTTATATGTTCCATCTTTCTGGCTAATCAAGAAGCAAGCGACGGAGTCGGAGACGGGCAGTCTTTGCCATGGGTCAGTACTTTTTAATTACTCCTCTTTTATCTTTTTTGTTAATGGGCTGGTTAATATTTTTTGGTTAGTTTAGATTTGTGTAATTATGGCTATGTGGGTAGGATTAGACTGTAGTTCTTTGAGATCAAAAACCGTGAGGTTGACGGTAATACGTAACGGGCCAAAGCGGATGATATTTGTTAGCGGTAGGATCATGTACCAATCACGAATGGTAATGTTTTTGGATTGACATGTGATATCATTGAGCAGAATGAGGAGGTAGCTCTTCTTGAAGGTGAAAAGGAAGCGGAAAAAATGATTGTTGAGGCTTATTCAGCGCTACTTCTGGCATTTCTTTCAACTGAAAGGTTAGTGCCTTTCTCTTAACCTTAGAACTGAATCAACTTCTCTTGAGGAACTTGTTCATGGATTTTTGTTCTTGTTTTCATAGCCATGGCATACGCGATGCAATCGTCGACTGTCTTCCAGAACACAAACTATCAATTCTCGTGCCAGTTTTGGAGCGATTCCTGGTATGTACATATTCATTCGACTTGCCATTCCTAACAAGAACACGCATGAATCTGGCATCATATGAAAACATGAAATACTCCCAAGATGGATGATGGGTTTTTTTGGGAATGATTATTTGATTGCATATTCATGGCAATCTGTTCGATCTAACACGATGCATAAACTGTGTGAAATGACTGAAAATTCTTGTGGAGATAATATCATTTCTTGTTCTTGTTCTTGTTCTTTAGGCGTTTCATTTGACATTGAACATGATTTCCCCGGAGACACATAAAGCCGTAACCGAAGTGATTGAATCATGTAGAAATTCCTGAGAATTGAATCATGGAGATTCTGTAAATTCTTAACCTCCGTAGGATTTCTTATCCTTAATTCATACCCCACAGAAATAGAGAAAGCAAGCGGCAACACACGGACGAACCCAGAGGGATGATCACTCATGTTGTATCTTTCTTGTTTAAAATTTTCAGAGTTCTCTCTTTCTCTATCCGTTTTGAGTTCTTATTTTCTTAATTTTTTGGTAGCTTTTTTCTTCCTTGTATACAGAAAAAACTATAGTGAATGAAATCATTATTCGTTTTCGAGTTTGTAATTTATAACCCGTCTCTTCGTTCTTCCATATCTGTGTATTGAGTTTAGCTGCTCTTCGGCTTTCGAGAACAGGTGCCCTCGATTGTTCCAGAGAAAAGGATCATGGTGCACTAGAACCATGACATCCAGGTCAAGCTGAGTAAAGTCAAACTGAGGTAGGTCGATCATCGCTCATCCCTCGTGTTCGGAAGAGGACTGATTTTAGTTTGAGCGATGATAATTCATAACCCTTTCTTCTACAGATGAATTTAATTAAAATAGCATCATAAAATATTTTTTTAGTTAATTAATTATTGGAAATGAGATATACAATTATGTAAATAAAAAAAATGTTAACAAAATTTCTCTAATATGAGTATACTCTTAATAACAATAATTTGAACTTATTAAACAAAAAAAAGAGATGTTTCTTTGTTAATTTAATTTTTTTTTTAATGATTTTTTAAAATAATTTTTCTGAAGACTAAATTTGGGATATTTTACCTAAACATTGAGCTAGTGGTTCTTTTAAGTCATCACAAAGGAGGATGCTCCACAAGAGTGTAGAGACCAGCATCTACTTAAGAAGAGAGCATAAGGCTAGACGTGGACGACACAATGAATGAAGCTGCAACATGACCAGAGAAGTGCCAACGTGGCGTTTGCCACGTGAAGGTGACTAGTTGAGAAGTTTGCCATATGAAGGTAGTCAGTTGAGAAGTTGGATGAAGTGTAGTGTCAACATAAGACTGAGTAACAAGCTTCTAAGTCTTGATTCCAAAAAGAGATGTGGCTCTAACGAGAGAATGTTAGGTTATGAATCTCTATGCAACTCAGAGAATATGACAATTTGGGCTATGATGGCAAGCGCGCTCCCCTAGCTAAGATGATGAATGTCAATACTAGTTTTTGTCATGGTTTATCTGGTGAGTCTCGGGTCGAGTCCAAAAAGTGGGTGAAGTTATGTCCATGGAGGGATAGCCCACAACCATTAGGCAACTTGTTTTTTGTCGTGCTTATATTGCGAGTCTCAGAGACCGAGAGAAGATCTGACAATGGGATTACCCATAAGTTGTGCACAAGTTTATGTTTTCATTCTGAAAGCACGAACAAGTCAACAGATAAAGCAAACAACCAATCTGATATTCGGGCCATCATTCGGGACGATGCCGAGATTAAGTGGGGGAGAATATCACAATCGACGATACGATTGTGCCCTGAGAAAGTCATCGAGGACGATGACTAGGTTTAGTGGGGGTGAGCGCCACAACCTTATTAAGAGAAAGTAGGTTGTGACCCCCACACACAAGACAGACAAGGGGCAAACCTCAACTGGCCCCTATCCAGCCATGTGAGAGTCAAGATTGAGAAGTGCTATGATGCAACCGAAGAGGATGGTGCATCATCCAACACACCAAGAGTGTGCATTGAAGCTAAGCCGAGACATATGCAAGGTTTGAGAGAATGAGACAACACAAGTGTCGAAGACAAGCTCGAAGATGGCTGGATAGAGCCCTGAGCCATAACCTCATAAGTCTCTTTGTACGAAAGATGAAAGCTCACCAAATTTGGTGTCAATCGGATACTTGATGGACTACGCACGGGGTCATATGCCCGCTCACCAAAATGTCGTCTACTCGAGAAGGATTGAAAATGCCATAGAATGTATTACAAGGGGAGGCATGGTATCAGCTCTCCACCACTCTTGGGCCCTGTGACTTAAGCGAGCTATCCTGTGGCACATGTGTGTGTCACAGTGAGGGTAAGCGTTCCAAGACAAGTGTCTTGGGTGACGTTGTTTGAAATGGATTTTTCAAGGACAGTACTGAATGACACGAGTGTGCCGGTATTGCGCCCTAGCCTATATGTTGGAGGTTGGATTATGCACCTGCTTTCCAAAACATATGCCATAAATGGTTTAGCATGGACACGAGAGAGTCTAATGCTCTAGCGAATCTGGATGGATGGATGTTTGGGATGTCCAGATGATTGACACATGGGTCAATTCCCAAAGGATGTGTTCGAGCAAGCCAAGATGGCCAAGCTGTCCTGAGACATGGTATGACATCACGATGCATAGATCATATATTGTTGAAAACTGAGATGATGATGAGATGCGATGTTGTTGTGTTGCATAGAATATGCACGCGTAGGCGGCGTGTGCGGCCAAACAAGTTTGAATTTCGCATAAATGATGTTTGGTTGGTGAAGACAAACCTCGCAATAGTCACACTCAAAATGACATTTTCCTCCGACAACTTAACTTTAATGCAAGCTTCCATGATCTGTAAACGTTTTCGTCGATAAATATCATTGAAGTTCAAGGTTCAACCTAATATGCAATATGAGATACTGAGACGGGCGATCGCCACGCTCACGAAGGTAGTAAGAGTAAAAAAGATAGACAAGGGCTAGCTCAAATACTAAAGAAACATAGTGACACAGCATATAACACAAACCACCACATGAAATCTTCACTCAACTATAAAATGATCATATTTGTACATCTGAGTTCAACAAGTAACCTATCTCTCTCAGTTGTTCATTTTTCATATCAACAAGTCACACATACCAAAATCCTATAAATCCCAAATTGATAAAGAAGCTCCTAGCCTTCTATATGCTTGCCATTCTAATGCCAGTGTCCTTAGCAAAGGAGGACGTCTGGTTATGAGCCTTGGAAAAGCTAATATAGAACAGCTCTGATGCTACACATGTGAAGACGATAAAAGCAGCCCCAGCCCCGAACACTCCTCTCCTCAGCATCTTGCACGAAATTCGCTCGTTCATTATAGAACTCACATACTTGGTATGGTACGCATTTCGAACCGAAGCAGCCAACAGACAGATCTCAGCAATGAGAAAACATACCCTGAAATGTCCATGCAATACCAAACATAAAGTTCAGAGTTTGACTTTGATCCTCAGAAATTGAAAACAAACAAATGTCTTGTCTAGCTCAAATTCAACAAGTAATAGACCAGCTTCATGTTTTTCTGTACATTCTAACATGTTTAATGATCTTGAGTGTCATAAAGTAAGCATTTCAAATCAGGGTATAATGATTTTGACCATTTACGAACACATTGAAGAGCATTAAAGAAAATATTATATCAAGAGAGAAGGTTGCACTTTAGAATCCTTCTGTGGTGGTATATTTATATCATAACATATGAACAGTAAGAATTAACATTCGTATTGATACTCGAACTGATAGGGAAGAAAATTTATGGATGGAATCAAATATGCAGTATTCACAGACAAAAGTACTCGATTATTGAGGAAAAATAAATATACTTCTTTGATGTAAGGTAATAGGTATGAATAGTCATCGACTCAGGGAAAGGGTAGAAGAACGGGACCTATTATGGGTCATACAATCCATTACAGGATTTTGCAAAGCCAAGCACAACAAAACTAGTAAAATGTGAAGGTTAAGCAATCATATGTACCAGCAAGTGATGAAAAGGGTAATTGCCCAAGCCCTCGAACCGCTCGGTCGCAAAGCTTTCCCACAGCATAAGCATCGACTTGCCACCATAACGATCACTTGGCTGGCAAACAGGACCAGAAGTGAACCCACACCTAAGCCAGTTGCAATATCAGAGTCATAGGCACAGAATTTAGAATTGCCTGATTGAACCACCGTGGCCTGCCAAAGGAGGTAAGATACACAACATCATACTCATTCTCCACTCCTGTCTTCACTTCCAAATAATATTATGATCAAGTCATGAGCCCTAACCTAATATCATTATGCTCAACTCGTCTCACAATCAGAAACCATGATGGTTTAAACTCCTAACACAAAAAAAAATGATTCTTAAGGCTTAAATTACTGCAGGCCACAGGGTGCAGAATATACTAATGACCAGATTTTCTTTCCACTTTGATAAGTAATAATCCGTTCCATCTCATATCTAGCAGAATTATTAGCTAAAATCTGTCTCTTCATTATATTTCATTTCAAGTTCATCCAAAACATTTCATGAGTCGATTCTCCACGCATTTGATTCTGCAGATTTGAAGAAGTTCAAAATTTGTAGCTAATAAACAACTCATGACCTAAACGAATCAATAGAGAGTTCCTATACAAAAGCCACCAATTTAAAAATTATCCCAGAAGTCACCAGCCATTTGAGCATAATCCAAAATGAAAATCACTAAGCGTTTCAAAATTCCAATCACAGTTATCATAAAAATAAGATTCATCGAAGAATAAAAGATCAATCGATTGTTCCAACAAATACATAAAACTTACAGTGGTTCTTCTTTGCTCTGCAGCAACAGCAAGGGCAAAAGCAACCAAATCAAGGACAAACACCACAACCACAACCAGCATACCCATGTCTCAACGATCCGACAATCTAAAAAAACCTTACAAACAGAACAAATTCCTGTAACTACAACGAGAAATCCAAGAACGAAAACAACAAGAAAAACTTGGTAATCGTCGAACAAACTGAAATCCAAACTCAAAATTCAAAGAAAAGAGAAAAAAAAAAGTTCAAAACTTACTGGATTTCACTTAAAGATGGGTTTATAAGGAGAACGAATGGGAAAATCAAAGGGCCGTGAGCTCTGCAATAACTCTGTTTTCTGTTCGCCTTCTCTTCAAGCGCGGGTAGAAGAAAGGAAAGTGAATGTCATTTCTTCGAGCCGCTTATTTTTTATTATTTAATTTTTATCATTTCTTATTTTTGCCTTTTTGAACGAAAGGAAGGTTCGTTATGTTTTAGTCGCGTGTTTGACACGGCTTCGAAAGATCGTCAATTCAGTTGACAAATGGTGGGGGCGTGAAATGAACGTAAAGAAAGATCGCGTGGGCTTTTCTTTGGCGTTAAGGAATTGATTCTGAGCCGTCGATTCGGATCATTCGGAAATCAATGCACGTGATTGCACAACACAATTTATGTGATCCTTAATTGGATAGAAAAAAGTGATTGGACTTCCAATTTTACAGTTTAATTTTTTCTTAATAATTAATACTCATTAAATATACTAAATTAATAAAAATATTCATAAAATTTATATTTTTATCTCAAATGTATATTCCAAATTTCTAAAATTTTATAAACAAAACAAAAAAAAACTAAGGTAAGTTGAAAAGCTTAGCAAGTAGAGAAGTGAGCGGAATTTGTGAATTAAAGTTGATGGGGTTGGATTTCTTCCTATCTACTCGAGGCTCGAGCATACACTGACGTTGTCTGCAAAATTCAAAATTTTCACGGCTTACTTGTTCGTTGGGTTAGAATAAGTGTTACCCAATCGCTGTTCTGCTACGGTAAGAATGCGATCGTGACAAGTGGAAGAGTTTAAAAGTCAGTGGGTGGATAACAGTGGGCCGAAAAGCACCTAAAATTCTCGGAATCTCGTACCCATGAGAAAGGAAGGAAGAAAATACCTTTTGCAATTTTAATTATTAGGTTTTGGGAATCTTCACTTTGCATCTAAACTTAATAGCTATAGAACAATATGATCCATATCTCTTTATATTTGGGGTCCCATTTTGTATGCAAATCTTATTAAATTAGGTTTTTGTTCCCTTCTCCTTATCAATCATATTATTTATATGTATATATATATATATTAATGGGACATTACATTACTTATATAATAAAGCATAAGAGTAGCAAATAGCTTGAATATTTTAAGAAATAATCATAAGTAATCTCACTATTGGGATAGGAAATGAAAACACATACAACATGGTGAGATTATACTTTTAAAATATCATAGTATGGCCTTAGGTAGCTTTCTAATCCAAATAAGATTGAATGTGTAGTACTTCTCTACATATGACCTGAGCGCGCGAGCATGGGCCCACCAAACAGGCTCGCACATCCCCTAGGCCTGACTCATTGGGCTAGCACTCTTTAACAGGCTCTTGTCGAACACCACTGAGAAAAATGGCCTGCATAACCTTATGAAAAACATAAATGTCGAAAACCATAAGTTGTAATATATGTATCTATACTCATTATATTGAGAAAGTATCCTGATGCACATGACACACAGATATGCATGAGGTCCCTATAACTTATGATCATGGTATAATGTATAATGCAAGACAAATTTCCATTTATCTATAACATAAAAAGTATTTGATTCATGGGTAGATAATTCCTATATTTTCTTTCATACCTAGCATAACTTTCATGACCTAGTCCAAGGAAGCTTATGAATCATAGATTATTGATTTCATAACAGTTTTATACAACATGACATGATCACATCATAGCATGCTGGGTCACGAGACACATGTCATCATGTATAATACAATTCATCCAACCAAGCTGATAGTAGAGTCACTTACTTGATTGACCTTGGTCGAAGTAGTATAGCTTTTATACATGACATAGTTTATCAGAACATAACATAACATGACATAACATAGCATAGTATCACGTATGATTCATATATATGACACGTGCTAGGTTACGGGACACGCGTCTTCATACATAATACAATTTATCCAACAAGTCAATAGTAGACTCACTTACTTAGTTGACCTAGGTCAAAGTCACTACTCGCTTATGCTAACTTAAGGCTGCTCCTTGAAATTTAATTCACTAGACATACTAACCTTAAATACCTTTGAAGAGTTGAAGTTAGTAAGGAAGGGTCTAGCCCAAGTTGGATCAGCTGAGAAGCCGACTTGAGGTTGTCAAAAAGTGTACTCTACGATTGGTTTCGAACCGTTGAAGTGAGATGAAAGAGAGCAATTGTTGTAATTTAGTAAGTCAAGGGACCTCCCTTTTATAAAAGTAGTCCAAGTCCAGAATTTGAAAAGAATTTGGTAGAAGCTCAAATGCCACTCCTCACTTAAGCCTCATGGTCCCTCGTTGGGTCGAATGGTTTAAGGTTGAAAATATGTATTTATATGTTATTTGTTGGGTTTTATGTTCTAAAACTCATAGTTTGTAAACAAAGATATATTATATTTTCAATAAGGTTATTATTGATGTTTATTCAGTAAAAATTGTTATTGAATAAAGTGAATTTTACGATCATTAATCTAAATCCAATAAACTAAGAACACTCTGGCTATAGTATGATTACTTGAACTATATGTAGAGACATAAGAGGGGATCAAGTTCAAGTATATAGTCAAAATGATCTATAGTATAAGGATAAGACTGAGTACCTTATTTTGGGGACACTATGGATGCGGCCCACTTTTGTATATGATATAAACAATGTGATCACTAAATTGTACATGTGGAGACATGTGAGTGGGGGCGTCCTATGCAATGAGTATTGCATAAGATCGGACCATGAAGAAAACCACTCTCACTTTATAATGTCGTTTACTGTTGAGACTGATTTTCTTTTCATTCGATAACTTAGGTAACTCGGTTTTAATCCTGAGCTAACCATGAACTCCTGTTTATTCGGAATTATCCTTAGATTTGCATGGGTGAGAGTGGCTCTTGTTTGCCGACTCAACAGGCCTCCTATTTCAGGGGTAAGACTGGGTGAATGGCTGGGGACGTGGGGTGCAAGACGGAATTCGCTCCTACCCACTTTTAGGGATAGAAGAAAGGTAGTTCCCTTAAG